AATATGGGATTAGTTATTTCATCCAAACCTATTCACCCCTCTCAGGTACATGGAAATACTGGACCATTGTGAAACGCAAGGGAACCTGTGCAAGCATGTTCTCAATACAAGGTTAGACCAACATGTGCTAGAAGATCGGTTCATGCTCAGTAATGATAAGGAGGTTTTCCTAATGGTGGAAGACGCAATATCATCACTTATGAAAGTGGGAAGAGCAACCCTTAGCCTGATTCCCCCACTTCTTGTCATCACTTATTGATGACAAGGTAGTATCCCATATTGGTCCATGAGTTTTCAGGAGTGGGATGGCAGATCTGATGGAAAGAGAATTCAATTCAGTTCAATTCAGCAAACATTCTTTAATGGCAGACTGCATGCCAGGCGCTGGGGAGCCAAAGACAAAAAATGAAATAATCCCTGCCCACAAGAAGCTTATATTTTTTTAGGGGATAGAGGTGAGGGAAAGAAACAGTTTATATAAAGAAAATTAAATATAAAATCAAAAGAAAGTAATTGCCAGGGGAAGGATAGGCTTTCTGTAGGAGGTGGCACTCTAACCTAACCTTGGAAAAAGTTGTGGATTCTTCAAGGCAAAGATGGGAGGGGAGTACATCACAGCTTATGCAAAGGTCTGTGGAGGCAGGAGACGGAATGTTGCATGTAGAGAAAACTCAAAAGGCCTGATTTTGCTGAAACAGAATCCATGAAAAAGAGTCCTACTCAATAAGCCTGTAAAGCTTTCATTAGAGCCTTAGAGTCGTTATTACAGTAACGTTATTACAGGTTGAAGCCCCGCCATTACCAGCCGTATCCGTTAGACAACCAGCAAGTATTCACATGCTCACCATGTTCCAGGGATCAGCAAACCAGTTAACGGGCCAACTTTAGCCCACCACCTATTTTCACATGGTGCCTGAGCTTAGAATGGTTTTAGCTTATGGGCCATAAAAAAATTAAGTGACAGGCCATTGTTTGCCAACTCCTGGCACAGGGCATTCAGTGCCAAACAGAGTAGTTTGATTTTGACCCTAAAGGCGAGCTAGAGCCATTGGAGTTTCTTGAGCTGCGAGTAATGGTGGTTTAGGGATATCAATTTGGCTGCTATGTGGAGGAAGGATTGGAAAGTGAAGAGAGTGGAAATGGGGAGACCCGTGAATAGGCTATTATTATAACTGGGGTGAGAGGTGACTAAGAGTCAGGAAACCTGGGTTCTAGTCTCTGCTCTGCCACTAATTTTCTCTACGAAGTTAAATAAATCAGGCCTCAGGTCCCTTTCTGTTCAGTGAAGAGGTTGGATAGAATGATGTCCAAGGTCTTCACCAATGATAGCATCCTATGAATTATCCTCAGATTATATCTTATTTCCTATCAGTTTATGAGACGCTAAGGAGGCAACATAGGAATAGTGCAAAGGATTCTTCTGGCTGCGGAAGAGGCAGACCTGGGTTCAGATATTATCTCTGATAAACCTGTATAATTCTTAGGCAAATCACTCATCCTCTTTGGGAATCTTAGCTTTCTCGTCTGCAAAAAGAGAAGTTTGCCCTAGGTGGCCTTAAAGATGTCATTTAGTTCCAGACCTATGCTACCATGAATGCTTGGGATCATCTTTATTCAAGTTATCTCTCAGTGGATGTGAAAAGCAGGAATGATACTGTCAGAGGGCGGGACCCGGGGAAGCCTCTTCTAAATATGACTAATGGACGCAGCATTTCAGGTCAGCAAGTCTGATGTCCTTCTCTGCAGGATGCTCATCTGGTATCTGTCTTGAGGAATGATTTTCTCTTCACTCGCTCTTTTTCTATAATTGGCTTCCCAGAGTACGATTGTAGGACATGGATCCAAACTTACAGCAGCCCTCTGGCAAGCTGGGAAAGGACAAGCAATGTTGTGTGCTGCTAAGGGACTTCCCCAAAAACTTCAAAGGCATATAAATAAACCTTAGCTGGCCGTGCAGAAATGAGCAAAACGTTGCTGCTTTTTAGAAGCCGTGATTGAAATTTAGAAATCCACGCTGGGTGGTACTGCCTTTGGAGTCAGAGAAAACAGGTTCAAATCCTGCCCCTTTCACCATCTATGGGAGACATTGGACGGGTCATTCCAAGCCTCTGGGCTTCAATTTCCTCTTCTGTAAAATGAAGGAGTTGATCTAGACAGATTCCAAAGTCCCCTCCCTCTATAAAATGGCAGCCAGGGAAGGACTAAATGACCTTGGAGTTCCTGTCGAGCTCTGAATCTGTGATCCTGTGATTTCCTAATTAAATCGGTTACAAACCAAAAAAGCCCATGGCTAAGGTGTTGATGGTTTTTGTTTTGTTTTGTTTTGCCTTTATTGGTGCAAAGTATTAGGAAGAAGTTGATGATGAGGGAACCACAGCTCCATAGTATATATGAAAATGACCACTTTTTGTGGGTATCAGGTTCAGTCTTCATCGATGGTGTGTGAGGGCCGACTGTGCAGCTAATGCAACTAGCTGTATTAACATTCGCCTGGTGTCCAGAGCAAGAGTGTTGGTAGGCCCTCTGCTTTTCATACTAGTTCTGTGTGGAGCGCTGGGTCACGTTTTGGGTCCTACATCGTAGGAGATACTTTGACAAGCTAGACCCACTCCAAAACAAGAATGGTGAGGCTTTTTGGAGGACATACCATAAGAAAAGTGGTAGAAGGTCCTGGGAGATTTAGCCTTGGAGAAGATTATTTCAGAATCACAAATCAAGAAGGGATCTAGGTCTAGAAGTTGGAAGGGATCTCAAGAGCCAAAGAGTCTAAGACCTGGCACAGTGGACAGGACACTGGGCCTATAGTCAGGAAGACCTGAGTTCAAATCTGGCTCCAGACATTTGTTAATTATATGATCCTAGCTAATTATCACTTAACCTCAGTTTCCTCAACTATAAAATGGGGATGACAATAAGAGCACCTATCTACCGGTATTGAGGTGGTACAGTGGATAGAGTGCCGAGCCTGGAACCAGAAGGACCTGAGTTCAAATCCTACCTCAGACATTTACTAGCTGTGTGACCTTAGGCAAGTCACTTAACTCCAATTGCCTCAGTTTCCTCATCTGTAAAATGAGCTGGAGAAGGAAATGGCAAACCCCTCCAGTGTCTTTGCCAAGAAAACCCTAAATGGGATCACGAAGAGTCAGACATGACCGAACAAGGACAACCAGGGTTGGTATGAGGTTCGAGCACGTAGCAGAGTAGGTGCTTAATTAAATGCTTGTTTCTTTCCTTACCCCCTCATTTTACAAATGAGAGAACTAAGACCCAGGAAATTTAAGGGTGCAGGATCATAGTACACAGCACAGCCAGTAAGTAGGAGAGATGGGATTTGAACTCAAATTCTTGAACTCTAAATGTAGAACTTAGGAAGACTTAGTAGTGGACATTTGTTCAAATATCAGAAGGGTTTTCATATTGCAATGAAATAAACTTTACTTATTCTTCTTCACTCAGTGGAAGCCATGATTAGAAGTTTCAGAGAGGCAGATTTCAGCTTAGTCTAAGGAAAACCTTACTCATTTTAGCTAACCACAAGGGGAATGAGCTGCCTCAGAAGGCACTAAGTTCTATGTAATAGGATCACAGAGCTGGAAGGGGTCCTCCAATCTAACCCCCCACTTTACAGACAAGAAAACTAGGAAACCCTCTTTCTGGCCCAAGTTCCCATGGGGAGCAGGTTGCTAGAGAATGCCAAGTAGAGCCTGGGTCACCCAATGTTTAACAGAAAAGATTCCTACATCAGGCAGGGAGTTGGAGTAGGCAACATCCCTCCCATCATCGCATCCATCTGAAATAACCGCATCTATACTGAATCCTGGTCCTTCCAGGTTCACTCTGACACAGACACACTGCTATTGTGATGTCAGTTTGTGGAAGGGATGTTTCATCAGAATCCAAGGGTGGGAAGCATCACAACATTCATAATCACGACCAAGGTAACCTTTTGAGAAACAGCATGTGGTGATAGAGACAATAGAGTGTCGGACTTAAGAGTCAGGAAGACCCTAGTTTCAAATCGCTCTTCTGACACCTATTGGTGGTGAAACCCTGGGCTGGTCTCTTATGCTGTCTAAGCCTCAGTTTCCTTGTCTGTAAAATGGTTACCCAATGGTATTGATGTGAGGATCAAATGAGATCGTGCATGGAGAGCACCATATAAATGCCAATTCGTATCACCACTGAAGAGCCTTGGACGAGGAGTTGGGGGACGTGGGTTCTAGCCCCAGTTCTGCTGTGTGACCCTAGCTGTGTCACTTACCTTTGGATCCCAGTTTTCTCACCTCTTAAAATGAAGGGGATGGACTAGGTGGTCTTTAAAAGTTTTGTTGTGTTTTGTTTTCCAGTGCTAAATGACTATATAATTGAAGGTAACTGGCATATGGGAGAGGATGTTTGGGAATGGGGAAGCCAACTCATAGCTCTCCATTACCTGTTGTACCTGCCTGAATTGTCTCCTGAAGAGTTCTCAGAAAGACCCTGAGGCTCACTGCTATTTCCATCTCATATCCCCAGGATAGCAGCATATCACTGACTTTAAAGCAAGAGACAGTAAAACATTGCTAACACACTTGCAATTGGTGCTTAGTAACTTATCCGATATCACTATTACAGTAGCAACACCAGGAGGGATCATTAAATTTTGAGCCTATAAAGTGGCACTCCCTGGATAAGAGGGTGGGAAAGGGGGAACCATCATTTACCCAATTTTTTTACTTACTTAGCAGCCATTTAATCTTGGGTTTATCTTTCGGCCAAGGATCTAATCCTGGGGAAAACACTGCATGTTTCTGTTTTATATTAAACTAAATATAATGGGCCACTGACATTAATTTGTGTCTGTGAGCAGCTGGAGTTTATCGCCAATGCATAAATAAACCCTGACCCACAGAGCATCATTGAATCTTGAGCCAGCCGAGGGCCGTGCATCCGCATTGGGTCCTAGCAAAAACCTTAACTCGTCTTGTTTCCTTTTTTTTTCTGTCTCCCTCCTGCAGTTCCACCAGGTGAGAAGAGTGATGACCATCCTTTTCCTTACTATGGTTATTTCATACTTCGGTTGCATGAAGGCTGCCCCCATGAAAGAAACCGGTGTCCGAGGACAAGGCAGCTTGGCCTACCCAGGTATGAGGCCCCACGGAACTCTGGAGAATCTGAATGGTCCCAAGGCAGCTTCAAGGGGACTGACATCCTTGGCTGACACTTTTGAACATGTAATAGAGGAGCTTCTGGATGAGGACCAGAATGTTCAGCCGAGGGAAGAGAATAAAGATGCCGACTTGTACACGTCTAGGGTCATGCTCAGTAGCCAAGTGCCTTTGGAACCCCCGCTACTCTTTCTCCTTGAGGAATACAAAAATTACCTGGATGCGGCGAACATGTCCATGAGGGTCCGTCGCCACTCTGACCCTGCCCGTCGGGGGGAGCTGAGCGTATGTGACAGTATTAGCGAATGGGTCACGGCGGCGGATAAAAAGACTGCAGTGGACATGTCGGGTGGGACGGTCACAGTCCTTGAAAAGGTCCCTGTCCCGAAAGGCCAACTGAAGCAATACTTCTACGAGACCAAGTGTAATCCCATGGGTTATACAAAAGAGGGTTGCAGAGGCATAGACAAAAGGCACTGGAATTCCCAGTGTCGAACTACCCAGTCTTACGTGCGGGCACTCACCATGGATAATAAAAAGAGAGTTGGTTGGAGGTTCATCAGAATAGACACTTCTTGTGTATGTACACTGACCATTAAAAGGGGAAGATAGTGGATTTATGTTGTATAGATTATATTGAGACAAAAATTATCTATTTGTATATATACATAACAGGGTAAATTATTCAGTAAGAAAAAAAATAATTTTATGGACTGCATGTATAAATGAAGTTTATACAGTACAGTGGTTCTACAATCTATTTATTGAACATATCCATGACCTGAAGGGAAACAAAGTCATTTGCGCACAACTGAAAAAAAAAAGTCTGCATTACATTCCTCGATAACATTGTGGTTTGTTGCCGTTGCCAAGAATTGAAAACGTTAAAAAAAAAATTGAAAAAAAATAAATAAATTGCATGCTGCTTTCATTGTGAATTGATAATAAACTGTCCTCTTTCAGAAAAACACACACACACACAAGCACACACACACACACACACACACACACACCAAATTTGAACCCGAACATTCCGTTTCCATTTTAGACAGTAAAGTATCTTCAGTCCTGTTAGTATCCTCTCTGTTTTAATGCTTTTGACTTCTGATAGCGTTGGAATTAAAACAATGTCAAGGTGCTGTTTGTCATAGCTTTCCTGGCTTTTGGGAGGGGGGTGGGAGGGTGGCTGGGTTGGGGGGTGGGGGGAAGGGACTGGGTTTGTTTTGTTTTGTTTTGTTTTTTAAAGTTCTCACAGAGGGAACTGGGGGAGGGAATGGGGAGAGGAGTAATCCCCACCCTGCGTGTTATGTTGTAAAGGTATTTGCTATAGAGACCACCCTATTGGGAAAAAAAAGCTACAGGCAACCCAGCGAGAGAATATTCATTTTCCCCTTGTCTCAGGGCCTCTGAGAAATCCTTCTAGAACTCTTCTGGGCCTGGTTCATTCCAAAAGACCTAAGTTTGCTTATAGCACATTCATTTTTACTTCTGGTTTCCCAGTTACCTTCCCACCACCCCTGTCCAGTTTTTGGACTCCCTCTTGGTTTTTCCTCCCGAGAAAGAAAAATCTGTTGCAAGTATTAAACCTGTAAGTAAATGACAGTGTCTTGTCAGATCGAGTCCATCACACAAAGCAAGGAGAACCACAACTTTCCAACAAAAACAACTAATTAATGGAAGCTAAGATTTATATGTGTGGGACACAGTGAGACTTTTACAGGATCAGTTGTAGGAGTAGAAGATGTCCAAAGAACGAGTATACTTCCTGAGATATACGAATCCCAGAGACAGTCAGATCACAGGTTCCCCATAAAGGGAATGATCTCCCCTATGGAGACTAGATCCAACAGGTAGGTTGCTGATGCCTGGTAAGGAAAGAATTCCCAAGCTGCATGCCGCAGCAGTCACTTGGATTTAGGCAAGGGTGGAGATGTGGCATTTGAGACATTCAGAAAGGAGCAGGACCAGAAGAACTCCCCAGGAATGCCTCTGGAACAAAATGGGCAGAGCTGTTTGTACCTCACGCTTCAAGTGCCTACATTATCTAACTATGCTTAAGAGGTCCTCACTCAACAGGGCCTTGCTCAGGCAATTTCACCCCCTTCCTTCCCCACCCCCACCCCACCACTCAAATATCAATTTTATTCTGGGAAAACCTGGATAGCCTGACATTCACTCTGGTTGTAGCATTATCATTTACTAGATGCAAAGAGAGACAAAATGTCTTGCTATAAGAAGAGGTTGATCACCTCTGAAAATTAGCTTCATTCAGCATAACCCCTAGTCCATATCTATCAAAATCCTCCAACATGATTTCTCAATGAAGACTCAGGCAGAACTATCAGGGACCCAAATAATGACAATGCCCAAGGGCTTGGCTCCCAATAACTGACATTTCTGTAGCAGATTCGGGTTTACCGAATACACTGCACTACTCATCTGATTCTTAAAACAGCTCTGTGAGGTTAGGAGTACAAATGTTGTTATTCAACCCCACCCTTCTCCATTCTTTAGATGAAGAACCTGAGATTCAGAAGATAAGCTGTCTTGCCCAAGGTTATACAGATAATAAACTGCAGAGCTAGGACCTCACATCTAGCTCCTCTGACCCCAAGTTCAGTGCTTTTCCCATTGTGTAACACTGCCTCCTCCAAAAGGAAGCCAAAGAGACCTTGACATTACTTTGACACTTTGATACTTCCTAGTGGTTCAAATAGGTTCTCAGAGCTCTACTCAACTAATGCAGCTCCTCTTTCTCAGCTCCTACTACTTTCCTGTCCATAGTGAGGATTCTCTAGATCAGCACTGCCTACTAAGCCTACTTAACTCAATGTGAGTTAATACAACAGCCAATACAGGGACTGGAAACTTGGGCTGGTGTCTCGTTAGCCCTTTAAATAACCAAATCCTGAACTGAATGCTAGGATCCACTTCTGTCTTCTGACCCTAGATCCTATTCTCTGACCTGGAGAAGGATATTAGTGTAAATTATATCCTTGCGTACAAGAAAACCCCAAGTATTATTCTGTTTTAGTAGTGGTAAGAAACAGACAAGAAGGGAGCTGCACCCTGACACTGGGAATTAAGGTCCAAATTCAAAGATGGAAAGAATACCCGCAAAGAAACTGTCTGTCCATCTATTCGTCCATTCATCCACCCATCCATCCATCCATCCATCCATCCATACTTCCTTTCATCCATCTGTTTACCTATTCACCCATCCATCCATCCTTTCATACATACATATATTTGCTCATTCATCTCAATATAACCTGCCATAAGGAATAATATTTCTAAACACCTGCCCCCAAAGAAGAAAGTTAATGGCCTTCCAAAGTCTCTGCAAGATCCCGTTTATTATAGGTTTGTTTTGTGGGTTTCCTTTAAATACATCTTTGTCATGGTGTCCTAACACAGTAGTGAGCGTTCAGACTTTCTGATGTACATGAAATTCCCTCCTGATTCTTCTTGGGGAGAACAAAACAAAAGAACACACTTTATATTTGGCAGCAGAATCCCCTGGGATTTCTCAACATGTTGATACTGACCCTGTCTGAAAAGTGCCAGGAGAAATTCAACCCTTCTTCAGACTGGCTCTCACCATCCCCAAGCTAAAGCATCCTACTCACAGGCTTGGTGGTCTTAATTGGTTAAAGATTTTTGTTTTAAAAGGGAAAAAAACAAAAGATCTCTCTGTGTTCTTCATTTTGTTTTTGCTTTTGCTTTTTGAAGTCTTGCCGTGGTCTTTGTGGCAGAAGTGTTTCATGCATGGCAGGCAGTGGGCCTAAAGCTTTGTTATGGTGATACTCATTGAAAATGTAAGTAAATGTCTGTGGCCTTGTTTTCTCTATGGTAAAGAGATATTATTCACCATGTAAAAACATAAATATTTATTGTATTTTTAGTCTATTTATATAATTCTGTTATTGAAAAAAATTGGCATTAAAACTTAAAAGCATCAGAATCCTATTGTAAATACAAGTTCTATTTAAGTGTACTAATTAACATATAATATATGTTTAAATATAGAAATTTTTAATGTTTTTAAATATATTTTCAAAATACATAAAATCTGGGGGTTCTGGGTTTTTTTCTCTTCACTGTAAAGCGAACATGAAAACATTTACATAAAGAGGTGTATCCATTGCTTTAAGACCAATCTGACTTGTTTCAGTGATAAAATATCCCTCCCAGAAAAAGCTGCTTTGTTTCAGGGGAGGGCAATGGAGAACAGTCATTCGGCTTTAGGGTTGCAGTAAGGACCTCAGATCAAGCCTGGCATCAAGAGTGGAAGACCAAGTGTCATTTTCCACTGACATTTTGAAAGTTTCCCCTTTGGAGAGACGGTTTTTCATCTAATTCTAAACCATGTATCCTAGCAACAATGGGAGCCATGAATCAAACATGGCTGGCTTGATTCAATTAGAAAGTAACTGTTAAAATCAAAGTCGGTTTACTTGAAGGTAATGAGAGTAAATTGCAGCGTATTTGGAGAATTTATAGCTTAAAGACGGAGACGCAAATTCAATATTTAGAACCAGTTCATGCGCCCTTCGTTTGGAAGTGGTGCTATTGACTTTATTTATTTATATCCATTATGGTGATTTAATTTGTGTGCTATGGCGCAAGGCTTCAAGGCTAGAGTAGCCATGATCTAACAGACTGCTAGTATTTCTAAAAAGATGGGCCCCTGTGAGTACTGCCAAGACTCTGGGCAATTAGTCAGTGTTTACAGTTATCACTAAATCTTAGAGAAATAAATGGAAGTGTTTTAAATTAGAGAAAGGGCCATTAAAAAAAGTAATTTGTTCCTGCTCTCTGGGCTTCCCATTAGAACACCAACCATCTATTCCTAGAATATGGTGAACGATATCTGTTGAATGTATCATTTCTACTTCAAATAGACACATGGTTCCCTCTTGTATTGTCTTATAAATAAGGATAGAGAAAGTCAAAACAAACATTGAGATTGTGTTGTTATGTAGATGGAAGAGTAGATAGATTAATCACTAGGTTCTAATCCACGTGAGAAATTTACCAAGTATTACAAATGAAGAGAAAAGTCTCCAAGTAGTGGATCATAATATTAGCCCAGGTTGTGAATCACATCTTTACTAAACTTTTGTGAAGGTTGGTTATTTCTCACAGCAGAGGAAGACAAGTATTTTGAAAGAATTAAGTAAGGAGAAAGAATGAAACATGATGTCCAAATTGCTTGAGACTGAGAATGCTTGGGAGGTATCCAAGGAAGTTTTCTTCAGAAGATGACATCAGAGAAAGAAAAGTGTTTTCAAGTAGCTACTGAATTCATTGTGGGGCCACCTTTCGTGATCAATTTCTGCACTATTTCTGAGTTCTGCCAGCAATTTAACAGTGCCTGGACCTCTGTTTGAATCCGGTGGGTTTTGTCATGATAATATACGGTCCCTGTGGCTATTGTCCATTTTAGAGTAGTCTACTAAAGCCATGTTGGTTCTTAACCTGTAGTTTTAGAAGTAGATAGACTGATTCAATGAGGTGTATAACTAGAGAGATACTTGGACCAATCATTTAGTTTGGATAGAGAACCTGAAGCAAATATTCCAAAAGTGCAAGGTCATGCCTGGTAATGCAGGTGGGTTAGGCTGGGCCCATTTCCCTAATCCCAGAGCAAGGAAGGAGCAAATGTAGCTAAAGATGGCTAAAGTGACTCATAAATAAATAACCATCAATACCCCTTCTCTCCAAATGATTCTACCAACTCCTGTGTTTAGCCTTCCCTGATTTACTCATGATTGGTTTTCTCAAAAGTATTTGGAGGATGCCTGCCTTACACTGGTGCATTTTCAAAAGACTGTTATCTCCTTTTGACTACCTCAATATAAAACCTCATAGCCTCTAATATCTTCAGCCCATCTAAGGGTCAGTGATGATTAGATAAAGCTGACTTCCTCTGAATCTTTATA